GAAAAAAGAAAAGAAAAGTTAACCAACAAACATAGAAAACCCCAAAAATTTCTCCTATCTCTATTCTAATTTCTATCCATCTAAGACTTCCACGTCTTCTGTAAATAGTGAATGAAATAAAATATTCAACAAATATGTATAAAGACACTGCCCTGATCTCATAGCTTTTCCTGTCTTTCTTCTTTCTCTTACTGCAGTATCACACCGTTATTAGGACAACGTTTGTCAGTGAGAGAAGCCCAAAGCCAAAACGCGAATCCGAGAACTCAAAACTCATCATCTATCTGATAAAAAAGAGGCTTCCTTGTAACGCCCTCTACTTCTTCACTCTCTGTCTCTAGCTCTCTTTATAAGTCTATCTTTTTCGTTTTTCCCACTTCAGGCTTTATCAAAGTCGAAAGCTTTAACGACCCACTTTGATTTTTTGGCACGCTCTCTTCCAATCCGCATCGATTTCTCTATTTATTGATCTGGGTTTTTGGTGTTCTGTGATTTAGAAGTCTTTTTCACATCTGGGTCGGGGTCTAATCGCTGCCTTAGGCTATGAGGAAGAGGGAGAGGGAGAATCCATGTGGGGTTTGTGGCCACTATCACAAATACGAAGAAGGAGAGGTCTGTGGGGTTTGTGGCCATCGAATGCCGGATTTATCTGACAAAACTTCGATCCCAGTTAGTGCCTTTCCTTCTGCGATCGTGCCAGAGTTTCTCTATTTGGGTAGCTACGATAACGCTTCGCGCTCTGAGCTTCTCAAGACTCAGGGAATCTCTCGTGTTCTAAACGTAAGACTTTTCACCTTAGTTTTTTTTTTAATGCCTGGTAATAAAATTGTAAATACAAGAACGAGTTTTGGGTTTGGTTTTTGCTGTTTTGGAAGAGTCAGTTTAATTTAAAGGTTCCATTTTTTTCATTGGCATTCGTTTTCGTATGTTGATTGTGCTAATTGGACGGGTATGCAGAGTATTATTGAGTACCGTCAAATGGAGAACAGTATTGAGTGTTTGATACGTGCTTTGTCTCTACTTAATCCATTTTTTTATGGATAAGAGATACTAAAGCTGTGAATGTTATCTGCGCTAGTGGTTTGATCTCAACCTGCAGGGAACTTGCAGAATGAGGAAGTGTACAGAGAATTCAATGAGATAGCTACGGGACCATCTATGCTTTGTTAAATGTAGTGGTTGGGATCAAAAGTTAGGGTGTCTATAAGCTTAAAGTAGTTGAGCTGATGTTGAGATTCATGAGTACAACGTGAAGAAGTAAATAGTAGCATCAATGCATAAAGTTCATCCTAGATTGTGGAAGATTCGTTTTGTTCTCAAGGAGCTATAAGGACAATAGGAAGGCTAAGAAAGGTGTATAAGCTGTGTTTGGGGTTATGAGTATATATGGACCTGGATAAAGAATGAGTGGTTTACTTCTTGACCTGAATTTATTGGAATATGGTCATTGAGTTGTTTTAGATGATTTGTATTTTGAGAATTAACATGTGATTTTAGTGTGGAAACATTCATATACATACATTCATGCATATATATGTACACATCTCAGCTTTTTTGTGTGTGTGCTTAAAATAGTTAGTCTCCAGCAATTAAATGCTTGACATTCTTGTGTAATGTTTTTTCTCACTCTATATGCAGACGGTTCCAGCTTGTCAAAATCTTTACAAGAACTCTTTCACTTATCACTACCTCCAAGATGACAAAATTTTGCAATTTGAGGATGCAAATCAATTTTTAGGTATGTACTCCTTTTTTGGGTTGCATATGTGGTTAATGTATGCCAGTTCTGTATATGGTTTTGATGCAAATCAATTTGGCTCATAATATGTTTAAATAACAGGGATTTTCTAATTGGAAATTGTTTTAGTGATAGTTGGGACATACCTTTTACTTCCTTCACTGACATACACACATTTAAATTTTATTTTTCTGTTGCTTTCTATTTAGCCGGGTACATTTTCAGCTTATTGGTTTATAGGTTTTCTATAGATTCTCCTTCATAAAAAAACTCCTGATATAGGATAGATTAAAGTATTTCCGGAGCCATTGAAACTTGTTAACATAAACATTGGAAAAATTCGATCTTGAGGGGTTCTTTAATGTGGGATACTTCATAGCTAAACAGAATGAATTTTGATGAGTAAAGATTATTGGCAGAAACGTTTTTAATGAATGCTTTCTTGATTCACACTACCTAATTGCCCCCTTATTTGAATTCTTACTTTATTTGACGAAATATGTGGATTCTGCTGTCACATTGTGGTACCATCCACTGGGTTCAGCATGCTTGCAACACAAAAACGTTATATAGATTTACCTGTCAACTACCCCAATATCCATTCTCAAGTGATCTTTTCTTGTTATAACCTTTGGACTAAGGGCTGCAAATCAAGTTTGAAATAATAAAGCTAATGGAAAGTTGGAACAATGAGATGGACCTTATTATAGCAGTTCAAATTTGTATTCTATTGCTTAAATTTCCTACTGAATGGAGCGTGCTTGATTTTGCAGAGCAGTGTGAAAGGGACAAAGCTCGTGTTTTAGTGCACTGCATGTCAGGGAAAAATAGGTGAACTACCAAAAATCATGCTTTAAAAAAAAAAAAAAAAAATTAAATCTTTTTAGTTACTTTCTGGGTACATTCCTAAAGTGCGCACTGAGTTGCACACACAACTCTAGAGTGCAGTTAATATGTCGCTTAGCTACCACCAGCCTATTGGTTTTTACTAAATCCTTAATCATAGGAAATGCTTTTTCTCGTTAATTTCATGAGATTTATGTTCTTTCTAACAGGTCGCCGGCTATTGTAATAGCTTATTTGATGAAATCCAGAGGATGGAGACTTGCCCAGTGTTACCAGTGGGTGAAAGAACGGAGACCATCTGTTGAATTAAGTGAAGGTATACAATGAAGATCTGTCTCAGCATTTCTTAAAGGGAGTATTCAATTGAACAATAACTTTAGATATTGGAACACAAGCCAGAACATTTGATTTTGGAAACTAGCCTGCTTGCATAGAGATTGATAAATGCTGATATTGTTGACTACACTGGAATGAAATTTTTTTATTTGGTTGGGTGGGGGATACTATTGCACCTTGTTTTTCCCTCTTTCATCTTGATGAGGGACCTCTGCAGGAAACTTAGAACATGTCCATACTTCAAACAAAGTGAACATTGTTGTCCACTTAGTTTTGAATAATTTTACATCTCTGACTTTCATTTGTGTTTATGGATGCAGCTTACTACCGGCAACTGCAGGAGTATGAGGAGAAGATCTTTGGATCAGCTGGTAGTGGCAACCCAACCTTGCCAGCCTTCCCACCGGTAGTAGCTGCACCTTCGTTCAGCTTTGGATTCCCAAGAGTTAATGATTCAGTTCCTATCCCTGCATTTAACAATGTTGGCACAACCTCCATTTTTTCCCGGCCTGCCCTAGATATTCCTCCGCTGGAGTTTACATTTGGAGCCAGCCAGGCTCGAAATGATATCTCCGGGAGCACTTTTGGTGCGAGTCCACCAAATTCAAACACAAGTGATATTTCAATGGATAGTTCTTGAATTTCCTGTTTTTGAAAACCCCTTTTGCGGATCAACTGTGGAGCAAAGTATCCTGCCTGACTCCGATGAGTTTTATTAATATCTGGATGTAAATTGGGAGTGACCGCTAATACTACAGTATATAAGATTTGACAGGGTGATAAGGATGGATGTCTTTCTTTTCTCTAGTTTCAGTTCTGTAACTGGAACTATTTTTTTCATTCACGCATGGCCTAATACAAAGTTATCTTCACTACATCTACTCTTGTAAATTTTGTCTGCTTAATTTTCATGTTATTGCCAACGTCCATGAGACCTCTGACCCAAGCTTAATAGGATTTGCATTTCCAAAACTCACCTCTGGTTGCACTTTTTGCAACCTTTCAAATCTGTCCTTTCTCTATGTTCGGTAGAAGTATTATGATGAAAGATAAAAAGCATTGGTAAAAGTGGGTGATTGGTTGGTGTGATACCATTAAATGGTGGCCGTATTTCTCCGAAGTTGTCCAGTTGTCCATTGATTGCATGGAAAATATACACGAGCAGATTTACTGTTATTGAGATCGTTAGGAGGTCATCCAAGGCCCAAGAAGCTCCTATCATCGAGGTTTGTTGCATTTTTACTCCCCAATTGGATAAATATAAAAGAGATGGAGCATGCAAAAGGCTTCCTTGGCTGGCAGGTCTTTGAGTTTGTGCTAGTAATAGGAAGCGTTGGCATTTCAACTTCGAGTTCTGTTTAATATCATCTCACCAATGAACTTTTGGATTGATTAGAATTGAAGGTGGAGAGTTTCGTTTTCACTCTCACTCTGATTATCCTATCCAAATATTCTCCTTGATTTATTTCCCTTATGTTGAAAGTGGTTTTTTCTGTTGACAAATGCTTTCATCTAAACGGATCCAATATGGGATTGGATTGGCTGGCATCATAATCCATTCCAACAACAAAATTGGACAAATTAATGATAAACACATAAATATATACTCATGCAAATATATACAACATTTACAACAAACATAAATTTAAACACAATTTAATATCGTATTAAGGCAATCAAATTATCACCAATTTGGATTAACTGGGCTCATGTTCGATTAGTTAACAAGTTATCAAATCAGATCGGATAGCCTATTCCACACACCTAAGAGCAATTTCTGCGAAGCCCCCCAGCCCGGGCAAGGGAGGGCCTAAGCCCAAGAAGCATTTTCCAACAGTACAAAACATCCTAGGCAAGGCATGGGCTCCACAAGCCCTGGCAAGCCTGAAGGCAAAAACAGCCTGAGCTATTATTGCCCTAAGGTTGTGACTTGGCATTAGCAACGAAATTTTTTAAAAACAGAATCTGAAAAAATACCAAAAAAATTTCAGAAATTTTATTTTTTATAAATAGCTTGCCATATTTTTCACTTCCCGATCAAAACTCTATACAAATTCATGTGAATAGTGATTGCCCTTGGGTTGCCATGGCAAAGGGTGAAAAACCAACAAAAAATTTCTAGAGCAAGCAATACTCATATGAATAGTACCAACCCTTACCTCTCCTTGCCTTTTGCCATGGCCAATGAGTGGAAATGCTCTAACAACAGAAAATGAAAGAATGTAACACAGTACTTCTTGAACAAATACAGAACATGGTTGTTTAATCCCAATACCAGAACTACAAAAAAAATTGCTGGAAACAGATGGTTTGGGAAAGGGCGAAATAGCTTTTCCAGCACGCTCCAAAGTGAGAATTGATATCAAAGTATGCTGCAACCTAAATCTTGATGTTGAAGTAATCTGAGTCAAAGTGATGTAGACGTACGTAACCATCCTCACCTCCACTTGAGAAACTGACAGTCACAAAATACAATAAAATAAACAAATAATTACACAAACAAAGGGACAGTAATGCTAAATACTTCTGATTACAGAAACATGAAATTCCTGTCCATGACAATTTTCTCAATGCAAACAGGCAGATAATAACCCACTTATCAGTTGAGAAACATTGATACCGCCATACCTACCGCATAAATTAAACTGTAGCACCCTTTTAAAGACTTTTAACCAGGTACATATGCCGGATACCATGTATAAAAGTTATGCAAAATTTCATCTCGGTTCTATAGTTAAAATAACTTTTTGTAGCTAAACAAATTGTTCATGTACAAATATATCACAATGAATGCTTAAAATGCAGTCCAATTCTAATTAAGAAGAATTTGCTCCTTATGTATTCATGAAACCAACAAAACCAAGTATGGGATTGAACTGTACCTCTTTCCATCAGGATTGAAAGCCAAAGCATTTATAGGTCCAAAATGCCCTTTAACACCTCCAATCTCTTCCTGAAGAACCTATACATATGTCACTGGGAAAAAAAATGATGTACTGAAGTGACAACAACCGACTACAAAAAATATAAACAAAAGTAGTAAAGTTTACCTCGTCATAGAATTTGGCTTCGAATTTCCCAGCACGATGATCAGTTGTGGTGACAGCTGATGCATCCTGACCACCACCTAGTACCACCTGGACAGCACATAAGGAATTTTGTTTTGAGAAAAAGAAAAAGACTTGTATAATGAACAAGGAAAAACAGTGCATATAAGGAACGTGTCTTTAGTAAGTATCATCCATTCATCAAATTTAAAACTAGAAACTTAAACACGAAAATTATTGAGTATGCGACTGGTAGAATGCATGTAATCATATTTGTACTCAACCCACTATTATCTTAATACGTGGGAACTTGTTGACTCAAAACAAGTTGACCAAGGAACCCAGAGAGAGGGTGAGAGCGTGAGTGGGAAAGAGAGAGAGAGGGAGTGAGAGAGAGCCAGAGAATCGGGGGAATGGGGGAGGAGAAGAAGAAAGAGAACAGTGAGAGACAGTAACAAAACGGGGCCTAAAACCTTCATTTCCCATCCTTTCCATCCCATCCCTTCCATCCTTGGGAAATGAGATAGTAATTTCTCCTCAAATTCGTTCGATGAACCAAACGGCCTAAAACCTTTATTTCTCCTCTTCCAAAACTCTCCCTCTACACTGCCTCTCTCCTCTGTTGGGGGTGCCTAAAACCTTTCTTTCACCTCTTCCAAAACTCTCCCTCTACATTGCCTCTGTTGGGTGTCGCCACAGTAGTTGTACACTAGCAATGTCGTCGATTCATTATTGCTCGATTACAAACATGAGGCCGATTGGTCACTGTATTTGCAGCTCTTAACAAACCAAGTCTAATTTCTCAATTTCGTCAATTTCATTAATTAAAAATTATTTAATATTAAGTTAAAAATAATTAATTTTAATATAAAATTTAAGTATAATATGTTCAAAAAGAAAATTAATAAAATTAAAAATAAATAAAGAAGAAAAAAAAACATAGGATAACAAAACAGTAATATTCCCGTTATAGGTAAGTTCCTTTTTCAGCAAAGCAGGCCAATACAAAGATACAAAACTATTTATTTATTAGCCTAAAAGTAGTAGAGTCAGTGTGGAACAATCATAAGTATACATCTACTTAAACACGTTACAATCAAATGTACAACCAAGCATGCATTACATGAAGCAAAATACAGTAGAGAAAAAATAGAGACTCTTATTGCCTCAATTGTAGCCTTCAGGTAGAACTCCATATGTTGATATTTCCAGGACTAGAAAGTAATACATGTCTCAAGGGAGGACTTGGCAAGCCATAATAAGCCCGGATCATCCCGCTTCAACACTAGATAAGTTTCTGGTCTTCCAATTTCATCCACAACATTTTCATTGAAGCCAATCAGGAAAAGGATACCCATGGCAGCTATAATCACGAAGAGGGGGAGAAGGTTAAAAGTTGTTCATTTTTCATCATGAAGCTACAGCTTTAAATTCAAGCAGAAAAATTATCAGATATATTACTATAATTATTATCCAACCCCTCAGAGTTCCATTTAAATATGGGAAATATTCCTTAAACCAGATTAATAAAAATAAAATCCAGATGTACGAAAAGTTTCAGACCTTTGTAGTTTGCCACATTCCTTTGGATTGCCGGGTTAGCCTGCAATATATCACCCGTCAGCTATTAGGAGAAACATTTAACAAGGAGGAAACTCCAATATTAAAGGTAAAATGACATATTATTCAGGGTAACAATGTTGTACCTTGCGCAGTCTTCTGTATTTAATCTCACCTGGGTGTTCGAGCACATTCCTACAAAGAATAGGGATAAGCCACAATGAACAACTCAATGTAGACAGGTACAACAACAGATTGACATAACAATGCAGTTTATATGTAGGGGCTTCCTTAGTTCTATAAGTTGCTTCAAAGCAAGAGACTGGATATAATTTTACCCATCTCATGCTCGTAAAAAATAAGAAGATAAAACCGGCTGGTGATACACCAATCGAAAAACTTCTAAATGTGCATGGAGGAAGGCTACAAGCTAAAATTCAAATTAGATTACTGTACCTTATTATCTTAAAGAGAGTTTGGAGGACTGTGGTAGCCTGTGTGGGATTAACCTCAGCTTGCAGCAACTCAATGTTCTCCTGTAAGCGTTTACAAAAAACTGTCACAGGGTCTTGAATTCTTTGAAATTCTTCATCATCTGGATCAGGTTCATCAATCTGCATTCTGGATATTTCCCGTGGATGCACCAAATTATCATCAGGATCAGGCTCTGCCTGAATGATTACAATTGATTGAGAATCATCAGGATCAGGTTCTGCCTGAATGACTCCATTTGATTGAGAATCATCAGGATCAGGTTCATTATGAACCTTCCTTGGATGGGCTTCATATTTGATAGTTTCACTAACCAAACAATCATCATGGTTAGGTGTTATGATATTTCCAAAAGAACGACATCCTAAATCATCTGGTTTTGCATCCAAGTCATCAGGATCTGGTTCGTCCACATTATTCCTTGGCTGAATCCTGCTTTCCAAAATCTCCATCTCGTGAGAGTGAAAAGGTTCAGGTTCAGCTACAACATCATGCTTCAGGCAAGCTTCCATGTAATCAGCATCTGGTTCTTCATGAGACTCTGTCCCTTCCAACTTCCTGTTACTTACCGAATGCGACACAGGTTGAGACATCATAGACTCACTGAAATCTTGTCCAAAAAGGGTCCTGCTTCCCGAAGATTGAGAGGAAGATTCATCAGGACTGGGCTCAAAATTGTTCTGATTACCAGAATGGTCATCAGGATCAGGCTCCATATCACGTTTCCACTGAATTTTGTGTGAACTTCCGATCTCTAAGTTTCCTTTTCCCACAAAATCCATATGGCTGGATTCTTTTTTCATATGGGGGATGGAATCATCAGGGTGTGATTCTTCATGTACTTCAGACACACTATCATAAGCAGTTGCTAGACGTTGATAAGCAGCAGCCACTGAAGATGTACGAGCACTTGGAAGCCGATCTGACATATTTCCTCCAAGCTTCTGAGAAGAATTACTTCTGCCTCCAACATAGAAATTTTCTTCATAATGCTCCGAATACTGCAATCCACTCAGTGTGTGACTTCTTGATCTCGTCCAATCTAAACTTTCAGCTTCTTGGTTCAACTAAACAGAAATAACATTAAATTAAATGAAGGAAACTAAGGTGGAAACAACCATGGAAGCCTAAACATGCACACTCTCACATATGAACACCGTATTTTTTTTTACCTGTTTATCCAGAGCATAGAAGTTCGCATCATGTTCAGAATATACCATGTGAGCCTGAAATTAATATAAGAAAACTATAAGGCCCCCAAAACCATAACACCATATCATGTAATCATATGCATACACCACACAAAGCTTCCGCAGACAAATAATGTACCCACGCAAAATATGTGCACACAGTGAAAATGAGGTAAAAATATAGCTTACAAGCTCATGCAAAAGAGTTTTCTTGATACTTTCATATTTCCTGAAACCCTTAAGGTCATCAGTTCGAAGGCGCAAAGATATCTCCTCCCCGTGGTTCTGCAACAGCAACCAAGTGTCAATCAGAAATTAAAAGAAAAGAGAAAATACTATTGCTTCTAATTTCATCATATATTCTGATGTTTAGAGTGTGATTACCTTATTGAAGCCGAGGATGCATTTGGGACTTATGCCAACATAACCAACAGGGGCCATCTCAGTCATGATTCCCACACGCCAACGATGCTTTAAAAAGAACAATGCAAAGATAAATTATCAGCAGGGGCATAAGAGTATAACAAGGAATCATATGCACAGCATACTGGACATTCTGTTTATACAAGTGTGAGAGAATATGCATTCAATGATACCTTGTTCATGACAGAAATAATTCCAGGATCTGCAGCAAGCATGTGCATTCTTTTCAATGCCTCTGACACCGGGGGGTTCAACTGCAGACAAGTAACAAGAAGTTGAAGTTAAAAGCCTCTACCAAAAATTGATAATTTCAATATAGTCACATTTCCTCATACATAATTTTAGAATACCTCAATTCCTGGAAGTTGAAGTGTTCGGAAATCACAAAAGATATAAGGTCCTTGTGGAAGTTTCAGAGTATGAGGCCTGTATGACATTCGCTGCCTCAATCTCATTTCCTCTTCATCAAATCCAGCTATCCTTAAATTTGTCTTTGCATGTTGTAAAACTTCATCAACCTCATGTTCAGACACTCCCATCATTCTGATGGACTTTCCCTGAACAAGAATAAAAGCAATCAGTTATCATGCAAGAACTCTGAAAGTTCAGTCATAGAAATTCAATCAAACAGCAAGATTATCCCCTTAAATAAATTCATTGCACATCATTAGTGAAACTTGAACAGAAATCGAAAGGGCGCTTAAGTGTGCCGCCTTGCCATCTAAGTCGCCGACATTGAACTTCTTTTGGGACAAGTTATCAGATCTTATAGACAAGTACAATAACCAACTCCATAAGCAGTATCCATATCTAGATATTTTTTTCTGATTGTAAAACCATTTATGCGAAGACAACTAAATATGATACCTCAATGATTGAAGTTTCCTCTAAACTCAACTTCTCATGCTCATCAGAGAAAGGAGATAGCAATTTTGAGCTTTTATCAGAAAACTGTGGAACAATTAGCTTCATCGTATCTGCTTTGACATTAGTTAACTTTTGCAGTTTATGCCCGAGGTCCTTGAGAATAGCACCCGCGTTGATCTCCACATTAAACTTCTTTCCTCTCCATATGACCCAAATGTTGTGTTCAACTTGTGGATCTTGCATGTTGTCCTGCAAAACACAGTGTGAGAAAAGCTTTTGATTATGTGCATCTTTATTGTCTATAATAATAGCTAAAGCTCCAAAGAGAAAATGTCAACTTCTGATATATATGAGAATGTATGCAGATTTACCAACAAACCAATATTACTTATACAAGATGCACACTTAAATTCTTAAACTTTATTTACTGAAATGCAATAATGAAGAAAGCTAAGTGAAAATCATCAGTCTTTTCAATACCCAATGAAAACTATCATTTCTTCATTCCACCATCAAAATTTTGAAATAAGATAGAAAACCCACGTAAAGTTTTCCACTTTAGCGGTAATCAAAAGCTCCGATAATTTCCTAATATTACCCATTGACAAAAACAAACAAGAACTCACCTGAAATTTCAACGAAAATCAGCTCAAACTGAGAAAAAAATAAATGGCCAAACAGTTTTCAAACCATCAACATCATCCATAGGCATAGAAATGAACGAACTAAATTGAAATAGTACAAAGATTTCTAAAACCAATCAAGCCTCAATCTTGAAATTATGAAGAAAAAAATCCATATTGAAGAAACCCAGATTAAGAATTTGGAAGACTTACTCAGATTATGATCGAACTCTGTCTTTCTGAGAAGCGGATATTCTGAGAATTACGTTGTCCTATATATCAGCTCAATTTTTAAGACGTCAAATGGTAAAAGAATTTTGACGATCAATTGCTTATATAGGAATGGGAGCGCAGGATAAGAGGCGGCGTACTATAGTAATATTTGGGAATAGCGCTAACATTAACAGCAGTGCGTAGTTGACCGCATGTTACGTATGTGCTGGCGCATGGCCATAGGGATGAAGGGATTATTTACCGCGGCCAAGCTAGTGAACTTTCTAGATTTTTGTAAGGTATTTATTTATTTATTTATTTATTTCCTATTTAGAACTTTCTCTTTATCTGTTATATTCATTTAATTTTTGGAGAGTTTTTTTGGAGCAATGTTTATTACAAATGGAGTGACTGGTGAAAAACGTAGCATAAGACACAGCTACCAAAATGGGCTTTATTGACAAACATACTCCATATAAAAAAAATATAATTTATCAAGTAATTATAACATAAATAGTCCGGTTAGTTGGGCACGGTGTGCTTATTCATCACACTCGAGTTTAATCTCACTCTTCCGTAATTTACCATCAATTGTATTTCAAAAACAGAAAGAAACTAATAAGCAGTTTACATAACTCAAATCAGAGTGTGCCCAACTTGGTATGCCAAGTTACTCTATAACAAGTTGATGAAGTGATGTTCTTCATTATGCTTTTGCAGCAGCTTGTTGGTTTTTGGGAGATAAGTCATGCCTGGAAAACGTGGAAATGGATGATGATTAATTCATTGTAATTGCTTTTCAAAATAAGAAAGAAAATGAAAATATGTGAATGACAACTACGTATACTTACTGAATTTTACGTGAAAGTTGAAACATGGAAGTTGCAGCCATCCCAATACTGACACTGAAAAGATTCCAGTTCTTCTGCAATCTCAAAATGAAGAAAAAACTCAAAACTTATATATACTGCAAAATCATTGGCCTAAAAAAAATTAAGCATTAAATTAATGAACTGAGGTTTAGAATTAATTACTGGTGTAATTATTAAGCTGTTTCTTGCCCATATAAGTCCATTGCATGTAAGGGCTGGAGAAAATAAAATTGGGATGACAAAAATTTCTATCAGAGGCCTCAAAAAAAAAAAAAAAACAGAGAGAGAGAGAGAGAGATATATATATATATATATATATATATATATATTAAACCAACCTGATTGCTGAACGTAGGAGAGTTGTTCAGGTGGTTTTGAATAGTCGATAATATTGGCAATGCTTACGCCCCATTTAAAAGTTGGAGCCCAAAAATGGACTGCAAAATTAAAACACATGTATGAGTGGTTCTGATGTTCTTTTACAATTAGCATCACAACAGTAGTTTTCATTTTTTGGTTGACTGAAACACAAGAGACATAACAAAAATCAATAACCTGAGGTCTGGGATTGTTGAACACTGATGAGGATTTAAAAAAAAAAATTAGAAATCAATAATAATCTCAGTGGTGATCTTTAATTTGGATAACTTTGATGCATAATAATAATAAAGCACCGTGTAGCTGATTTGCATGGTTCTTACTAAAACTTTACTGTACAGAACTCAGTTATATGATCTGCAGGGGATGCTTTGATATCGAACTTTCATACTAACAATTCATCATTAAGAAATTTGAAGAACAATATGGCTAAATGATCAACACAAACATGTAGAGATTTGTAGAGTAAGGGGAATTAGAGAAGTAAACGAACTAGTTTTCGGGCCGGCTGGGTGGTTCCAAATTGCTTGCAGCTTAGAATTCGCCATGAAATTAGAATTTGCCCTCTCTCTCTCTCTCTCTCTCTCTCTCTCTCTCTCTCTCTATTTGATTGAAGTAATGTAGCAAAACTGAGGAGGAAGAAGAAAGGAACTTACATGTTGATTATATTATGTCGATCTAATACCTTTTGACTACGAAGAAAGGGACTGTATAATATTTAAGCAGAGGATAGAATCAAAATTCTGGCTCTTTATGATTGGTCAAAGCCATTAAAAATTTGTACATCCCCTGGTTTGGGAATTTGGCTACTAAAGCAAGCAAGTTATTCATTTGTTGAGAGGTGACTTTGAAGGCATTTCAAACTCTTTTTCATGAACATCTTCACCATTAAGAAATACCAAGTCTTATACATCACCTGTTTATGTCATATTCTTTGGGTTTTTCATGAATTGGTTTATGTAATAGGCATATCATGCTGCAAAGCAGCCTTACAATACAACTAGCAGCTAGCATTGCTCTTAATTAGGAGATGAAACGCTGTTTTCTCTAGGCGAATAGCCGTTGTTAACTTGTTAGTGACTGAAATACTGCAATTACCAAAGCTTTGTAAGGTTTTTCTTTCCTTTTGGTTAAAAGGAAGGCCAAAAGAAAAGGGAGGGATTCAAACTCTGGCTTTGAGTGCAGGGTTAAACGCCCTCTACCACCCAATTAAGCCCCTTTCAATGGCTTGTAAGAGCGGGGTTTAAAGGTGCTGAATGAAGATGTTTATATAGAGAAGTTCTGCTACATGTACCACATTGCAGACCCCAATGTTATCACTTTGTTTTGCTTAATACAAACTAAAACTCTACATGTAGCATTCCAGTCATAAAAGTAGGTCAGGGAGAAAGAAGCAGTCGATGAGGTTAATTTTTCATTGGCCTCAATTGAATCATGAGGTTCAAACATAATCCAATAATAATCCATGAGAAAGATTATGTTTTACTGTAAGTAATAATAATTTTACATGACTAGAACAAGAGTCTGTCTAGCTAGAAACCAGCATGCCAAGTTAATATACAATAAGTTGAAGTGAAATTGTCTTTATTCTTCTTCTGCAGAAGCTTGCTGGTTTTTGGCAGATGAGTCATGCCTGGAAAATATGGAAATGGGTGACAATCAATCCATTGTAATTAATTATTGTTGAAAACAAAGACGCAGAATATGTAAATAGCGACTTACTGAATTTTACGTGACAGTTGAAACAGGGCAGTTAGAGACATCCCAAGATTGACACTGACAAGATTCCAGTTCTTCTGCAATCTCAAAATGGACAGGCTATAATAACTGAAGAATCTATCTCAAACTTATACAACAAATTTCTTGGACAAAAAGAAACTTCTTCAACTGCAAATTGTTTGCTCTAATTGATAGTTTGAGGTTTAGAATCAATTACTGGTTTAATTAATGTGCTGTATCTTGCCCATATAAGTCCACTGCATGCAAGGACTGGAGATCATCAAATGGGGATGACAAAAGTTTCTGTCAGTAATGAGTTAACAACCAGAAAGTCATAGTGCTACTGTACTAGTTAGAACCCGTTTGGGAGTGCTGTTAGTTATTTGAATGCGCATTTAGCCATTCTAAAAACACTTGCAAACGGACCCTAATGTAAACTCGTCTGTAGAATTGACAAGATATAGGCCTCAAAGAAATAAGTGATTCAGCAGTTCAACCAACCTGATTGCTGAGCATAGGATAAGTCCTCAGGTGGTTTTGAGGAGTCAAGAATATTTGCAATGGTTAGACCCCATTTAAAAGTTGGGGCCCAAAAATGAACTGCAAAATTAAAACACATAATAATAAACCTTTAACATATGAGTGGCTCTGATGTTCTTCTACAAATTCTTATCACAACAAGTGTTCATATATCCTATGATCAATTGGGAAAGTTCTGGTTTTACCCACGAAAATCTGAGGCCTAAGCTTGTACCTAAATCAAATCTGAGGCCTTGGTTTAAAAACTGACGAGGGTTTTCTTTCTCAGATAAACTAGTTTCTGACTTAGAAACCAATAATCTCAATCATGTTCTTGAATCTCAATAATTTTGATGCATCATGCATGGTAATTAAGCACCATCTAGCTGATTAACATGGTATTTACTAAAAAATGAACTAAACTCGGATATGATTAAGCTTTCAAACTTTGATATCAGCAATTCATCATTGAGAAATGAAGAACAACAATATGGCTAAATGATGAACACAAACATTTCAAAACATGTAGAGTAAGAGAAACAGAATTAATTAACTAGAGAAGTAAACAAACTAGTTTTTGGGCCGGCTGGGTGGTTCCAAATTGCTTGCAGCTTAGAATTTGCCATGATATCAAATTCTTCCCCCTTCACAGCTCCTAGGTTGGATAAAGTAGCAAAACTGAGGAAGAAGAGAAAAAAGGATTATATTTGTTCCTCCCAATAATTCTGAGTTTTGACTAATATTTACATGAAGGAATCCGACAAAAAAAAATATTTAAAAGAAGGAAAAAGAAAACAAAAAAGGTAAGATCCTGGCTTTCTATTATTGTGGAAGAGTCTTTTCAACATTTGTAGATCCCCTAGTTTTTGGAGTTTAGCTGCAAAGCCGTCTTATAATTATCTAGCACCAAAAGCTGCAAAAACAAACAGGAAGCACGAAAAGTACACCAAACACAAAATATTCAAGCCACAGCTAGCATTTCTCCTACTTGCCCAATAGCTAAATGAAGGTCGTTAAAGCCATCTAGCCTAGTGAAAAAAGGCCTTTTGATTTGCAGACCAATGATTTCGGGTTCGAACTCCATGACACCTTAATAGTGTATATATGAGAAATCTCCATCCCTTTGTACTTTAGATTATCACTTGTATTCAAAAGGAAAAAACGAGATAATTAAAAAGCCTCCTTTTTTTTCCTCATTCCATCTACAAAGGAGAGGGGACAGATTCAAACTCTGGCTTTTGAGTGTGGGCTACCACTAGAGTTACAAGCCCTCACGTATCAAGCCTCTTTTGATGGCTTGAGTGCACAAAGTCAATGTGCAGGATCAAGATGTTGATGTTTACAAAGAGAAATTCTACCACATGACCAAATTGCATGTAACCTCAACCATAAATAATAGTAAAAAAATTTCTAAAACCAATCAAGCCTCAATCATGAAATTATGAAAGAAAAATCCATAATTGAAGAAACCCAGATTGAGAATTGGGATGACTTACTCAGATTATGATCGAACTCTGTCTTTCTAAAAAGCAAGTATTCTGAGAATTACGTTGTCCTATATATCAGCTCAATTTTTATGACATCAAATAGTAAAAGAATCTCGACCAAAAAAAAAATAGTAAAAGAATTTTGACGATCAATTTAGACTCTTTCAATGGCTAGTAAGGGGGCGGTTTAGAGGTGCCGTACAGAGATATTTATAAACCAGCATGCCAAGTTAATATACAATAAATTGAAGTGAGATTGTCTTCATTCTTCTTCTGCATCAGCTTGCCAAGTTAATATTCAATGGCTTGTTTTTTCGTTCATATCATAATTATTTCGCTTTCATTTCACATAATTAGTAAACAAACAGAAATGAAGAATGAAGATTAGTTCTTAATCAATTACCAACTGCATCAAACACCACATCAAATTTCTCAAGCAGGTCTTCCACATTCTCCTCAGTGTAATCAATGGCCAAATCAGCACCCAAGCTTCTCAGAATCAAGTTTTTTAGTGCTTGCAGTGGCTGCTACTCTGGAGGCACCAAAAACCACATTAATGACTAGATTGTAGGAAACATTATTCATGTAGAGGGAAAAATAAAATAACATTATTATAAATAAATAAAAAGTACCGCGTCGAGTAACCTCAACCATAAATAATAGTACAAAAATTTCTGAAACCAATCAAGCCTCAATCATGAAATTGTGAAAGAAAATCCATAATTAAAGAAACCCAGATTGAGAATTCGGATGACTTATTTTAATCCCAGCAACCAAATCCCTCACATTCTCTTTAAAACCCAAAAAAGTCCTTTAAAAGTGATACCAGACTCATAGCAAAATCCCAAAAAGCCTCAGTAGCCTTCTTCTTCTTCCTGTCAAAAACCTTCTCATTCTCTTTCCATAACCTCCATAGCCTTTTCTTTTCTGTCAAGTCATTCTCTTTCCACAAAGGGAACCTTAGATTTCTCTGTCACTGCACTAAGGTCCTTAATTTCTGCCAAGATTGAGGTCAGATCATTCATTAACTCCAAAATTTCACTCGGGCTCTGCTGGATGGACGCCTTGTTGCTCTGGCTCTGGATGGTTTGAGACTTTATTGCATGTTGGGAGACATCTTCATTGTGCTTCGGAAAATTTTGGTAACGGTGTCAAGAAATTGATTTCCAAAAATCGTAATTCCAATAGGTTCGTACGGAAGATCATCAGTGGGCTAAACCTTATTCACAGCAAGCTCAGAGACGCTTCAGCTTCCAACGACATCTTCTTTTCTGAGCTTGCTGTGAATAAAGTTTAGCCCACTGATGATCTTCCATACGAACCTATTGGAATTATGATTTTTGGAAATCAATTTCTTGACACCATTACCAAAATTTTCCAACTTCGGAAGTAGTGCTTCTTCTTCTTGATTGCAAGACAGCACAATGAAGATGTCTCCCAACATGCAATAAAGTCTCAAACCATCCAGAGCCAGAGCAACAAGGCGTCCATCCAGCAGAGCCCGAGTGAAATTTTGGAGTTAATGAATGATCTGACCTCAATCTTGGCAGAAATTAAGGACCTTAGTGCAGTGACAGAGAAATCTAAGGTTCCCTTTATTCTTCGACTCAAGAAGAAAAAAGTTTTGGATGCGCTCAAAACATTGGATTATCAGATATGTTGTCTCAAACTGATGAAGAAATGTTTTATGAAAAATTATGATTTGGACATCAAATTGAGTGAACTATGGGGCAAGAGTCCAAATCCCTATGCGAGTTTTTGAGTTTGTGAACTTTTGATGCTTCTTGATGTGTAATTCCCCCAAACACAGAGCAATGGATACAGAACCAAAGCTGGACACTATTCTCCTTATCATTGGATATTTTGTAAATTGCAGCAACATTATCAAGATTAGTAGTTTTCCATGGAGCTCACGTATTAGTAGGTTTTGGTGTCATTGCATTTTTTGTATATTGCAGGATAACGAATGTAATCAGCAACGCGAATCTTAAAGTTCCTAAATGTTTCATAGTCATAGAGCTCACGTATTAAGTGCAATGGCACACCATAGTACCTGGGATGGGTCTCTCCCTCTCCATCACTAGGGAACCAAACATGATGTGTTGTAATTTCCACCAACACAAAAGCAATGGATACATATGTAGAACCAAAGCTGGCTGCTATTATCCTTGTCATGGGATTTTCTCCTACATGCATTAATATTGTAAATTGTATAGTGCAGCAACATTGTCATGATTAATAGTTTCCAGGAGAGGATTTAAAAAGGGAGTTTCACTAAAACACCCAAAATGGGGGTTGAAATTATAAAAAAACCCAAGCACTATTTAAACATATAAACACACCCAAAACTCATCATTACACACACTCAAAACCCATTTATAAACACACCCAAAAAGTTGACTTTTGGGTTGATTTTGGGTGTGTTTCTATGTTTAAATAGTGCTTGGGTTTTTTTATAAATACATGTCTAGGATTGGGTTTATTTATAAATTTGTAATTTAAAAAATATATTGTCAAACAAAGTAGGGCAAATATTCAGTTATGCTAAGATACGCTCATATTATTATTCTTCTCCAATATGGAGGTATTTATACAAGTACAAAGATGTGTTAACCCTAAATAAAATAGGAAATAAATCCAAATTACAATAGAAAATAAATATAAATTACAATAGGAAATAAATCTCAATTATAATAGAACTAGATAAATGGGTAAGTAACCAAAATCTTAACATAGTAAGGAACCCAAAACCTAACTAAGTAAGGACTCACCAACACTCCCCCTCAAGTTGAGGCAAAGATATTTCGTATTCCCAACTTGACAAGCAAGTCACAGGACATCATACTTGAGAAACACCAATTGTAGAGAAGGTCTTTTCGTCAACCACGAGTGAAACAAGTGACAAGCGTCAAACCCTAAAAAATAGGGCACATAGCAGAACACAGAAACCCTGTGAGTACGGCAGTAGGTAAGGCAGAACATAGAAACTTTGTGAGCACATCAGTAGGTAAGTCAGAACACAGAAACCTTGTGAGCACGGCAGTAGGTAAGGCAAAACACAGAAACTCTGTAAGCACGGCAGCAGATAAGGTAGAACTTGAGAGATGATGCAAACCACAACTAGCATTTCTCCTACTTGGCTAATAGCTAAATGAAGGTCGTTAAAGCCATCTAGCCTAGAGAAAAAAGGCCTTTTGATTTGCAGACCAATGATTTCGGGTTCGAACACCATGACACCTTAGTAGTTTATGTGTGAGAAATCTCCCTCTCTTTGTACTTTAGATTATCACTTGTATTCAAAAGGGAAAAAAAAAAAAAGATAATTAAAAAGCCTCCTTTTTTTTCCTCATTCCGTCTACAAAGGAGAGGGGACAGATTCAAACTCTGGTTTTTGAGTGTGGGCTAAACGCTCTCTACCACTAGAGTTACAAGCCCTCACGTATTAAGCCTCTTTTGATGGCATAAGTGCACAATGTCAATGTGCAGGATCAAGATGTTGATGTTTACAAAGAAAAATTCTACCACATGACCAAATTGCATGTAACCTCAACCATAAATAATAGTACAAAAATTTCTAAAACCAATCAAGCCTCAATCATGAAATTATGAAAGAAAAATCCATAATTGAAGAAACCCAGATTGAGAATTGGGATGACTTACTCAGATTATGATCGAACTCTGTCTTTCTAAAAAGCAAGTATTCTGAGAATTACGTTGTCCTATATATCAGCTCAATTTTTATGACATCAAATAGTAAAAGAATCTCGACCAAAAAAAAAATAGTAAAAGAATTTTGACGATCAATTTAGACTCTTTCAATGGCTAGTAAGGGGGCGGTTTAGAGGTGCCGTACAGAGATATTTATAAACCAGCATGCCAAGTTAATATACAATAAATTGAAGTGAGATTGTCTTCATTCTTCTTCTGCATCAGCTTCTCGGGTTTTGGCAGATAAGTCATGCCTGAAAAATATGGAAATGGGTGATAATGAATCCATTGTAATTAATTAATTATTATTATTATTTTTTTAAATACACAGAATATGTAAATGACAACTTACTGAATTTTTCGTGACAGTTGAAACAGGGCAGTTAGAGACATCCCAAAATTGACACTGGCAAGATTCCAGTTCTTCTGCAATCTCAAAATGGACAAGCGTTAATCTATCTCAAACTTTTACAGCAAATTTCTTGGCCGATAAGAAACTTTCTTCAACTGCAAATGATTTTGTATAATTGATAATTTGAGGTTTAGAATTAATTACTGGTGTAATTACTGTGCCGTATCTTGCCCATATAAGTCCACTGCATGCGAGGACTGGAGATCATCAAATGGGGATGACAAAACTTTCTATCAGTAATGAGTTTAACAACCAGAAATTCATAGTGCTACTATTGTACTAATTAGGACCTGTTTGACAGTGCTTCTCCAATAAGCACTTTTGCTCATAAGTGCTTTTGTTGGAAGCGTTTTTGCACTTTTAGCTTTGTCTGCTAAACGACGTCAAATTTGCTCTAAAAGCACTCCCAAACGGGCCCTAATGTAAACTCGTATGCATAATTAACAAGATGGGGCATCAAATAAATAAGGGATTTCATCAGCTCAACCAACCTGATTGCTGAGGATAGGATAGTTCCTCAGGTGGTTTTGAAGAGTCAAGGATATTTGCAATGGTTAAACCCCATTTAAAAGTTGGGGCCCAAAAATGGACTGCAAAATTAAAACACATAATAAACCTTTAATTTATAAGTTGCTAGGATCAAATGGGAAAGTTCTAGTGTTTATCTAGTTTTACACACACACAAAAAAAAATTCATTAGTTAAAAGCTGTCATCACAGTCCTATAGGAAGAGATATGTGCACAATTTCAGTAAAGGAATTAAATTATTTTTAATCTTTTGGGAAAAAGTGATCAATTATCTGTGAAGTCATGCAAATCTTTCTATTTTTCTTTCATAAGCTTGCATCTGAATCAAATCTGAGACCTGGTTTTAAAAACTGATGAGGATTTCTTTCTCTGAGAAGGTAGTTCCTGAGTTAGAAACTAACAATCTCAAACATGTTCTTGAATCTCAATAACTTTGATGCATGCTAATCAAGCACCATCTAGCTGATTAGCATGGTATGATTAAGCTTTCAAACTTTGATATCAACAATTCAAGAACAACACAAACATTTTAAAACTTGTGGAGTAAGGGAAACAGAAATAATTAACTAGAGAAGTAAACATACTAGTTTTCGGGCCGGCTGGGTGGTTCCAAAATGCTTGCAGCTTAGAATTTGCCATGGAAACCAAACTCTGGCCCCTTCTCAGCTCTTAGGTTGGATAAAGTAGCAAAACTGAGGAAGAAGAAGAGAAAAAGAATATATTTGTTGATAATTATATATAATTCCTCCCAATACTTCTGAGCTTTGACTACAAACAAAGCGACTGTAATATTTAAATAAAGGAATCCGACAAAAAAAAAAATATTTAAACGAAGGAAAAAGAAAACATAAGATAAGATCCTGGCTCTCTATTATTGGAAAAGTCTTTTCAACATTTGTAGGTAGATCCCCTGGTTTTTGGAGTTTGGCTACAAAAGCAAAGCTGTCTTATAATTAACCAGCACCAAAAGCTGCAAAAACAAACAGGAAGCAAGTACACCAAACCAAACACAGAATATTCAAGCCACAGCTAGCATTTCTCCTACTTGGCCAACAGCTAAATAAAAGGTAGTTAAACCCTAAACTTGGTCTCAGGTTCAAATCCCACGACACATTGGTAGTGTTTGTGTGAGAAACTCATCTCCTCTTGTATTCAAAATATAAAAAAAGAGGTAGTTAAAAAGCCTCCTTTATTTTTTCCTCTTTCCGTCTACGAAGGAGGGGTCATATTCGAACTCTGGCTTTTGAGTGTGGGCTAAACACTCTCTACACTAGAGCTACAAGCGCCCACGTATTAAACCTCTTTTGATGGCATTTAAGTTCATGATATCGATGTGCCGGATCAAGATGTGGAGGTTTACAAAGAGAAATTCTACCACATGACCAAATTGCGTGTAACCTTCCACTCAATACTCTAGAATTGACAATTGAAATTTGAAACAAAGCATATTAGGCTGCATTATTAATTGGAGATATGTAACCCAAAAATGGGTTCATTTAGTTCAGTACAAAACTTCACCGTCAGACAAGCATAGATTTATTTCAATAGTTCTAGCCTTCCTATCATGTATAAATAAAGTGTCTCATTCTCTTAACACACAAAACCGCAAAAATAAATAAAAAATTACATCACTTAGTGAGTATGATCATTTTGATCAATCTGTCACACCAAGATCATCCTAACTTCTCTAGGTATGCACCAAAATCTTTATCTGCCCAAGAACAAAATCAAGGATTTTTAAGATAACTCAGACTGTTCCGGCATCGTTCTTCAGTCTCACAACCCCTTTGATATGGATTTATCTTCATTTTGTAGCAGTTCTCTGGATGCATAAAGCTGCATCCAGGAATGTCATCTCTTGACAGAGAGCCATAGCCAATCCTCAAGCCCTCTACTTCTTCACCCAAAAATATTGCACACACAAGGAGGCTGCTTAAGGACAAAACAGTCATTGCCTTGGACACGGCCATTTTATCAATGAGGCTATGAGAATGAGAGGGTCTCTAAAATAAATTATAATGCAGTGAAATTGCATAGGCTGAGCTCTCTGGAATTTATAGGAAGAAGTTTGTCCAGAAATATTTTGGAAGGAATTGATTGATCTTAATTTTATTCTAATTACCTCTAATTAAGCTAATTGATTGATCAGGCTTGTAATTACTTTCGTTGCTTCTAATTAGACCGAGTATAAAATTTGAATTTGTTTCCAAGTTTTTCTACATTTAAACTCCTCTCCGAGTGAATTTTTCATACATGTATATTTTAGACCAAACTTTTAGGGGTGCGGTGGGGTAGGATTTCTATACAAGTTTTAGGCCTAAGTTTCAATGACTGAATTTCTAACCTGTGATTTGGGTTCTTGTTTATTTCTAGGCAGCACAACGGATCTCACACTGATTGAGAGAGTGAAAGTATTAGTTGTTTAGCACCACCGACTACGTTAGTGACCGCATCTCTTATAGAAATTAGATCTACTTATGTAGACACGTCTCATCTTTATTAAAAAAAAGTGAAAACTAAAATGAATTAGTATAAATAACTGAAAAGCTTACACCTCCTGTAGACCAAGTATGTGATCACAAGCAGTGTAGCTATTATAAGTTGAAAAATAACTTCTATTTATTTTTATTTAAGAAAAAAAACCAACAAGAGACTACAATGAAATTTTTTATGATAATGGAACCCATCTCACATTTGATTAAAGCTAAAGAGGAAATCAACTGAAAAGGACAAGAAAACGCAATGCTAAAACAAGAAACCAAGATAGAATACGAAACAAATGCAAAAATAAAAAAGCCAGCAGCACTGGTGTAAGCACAGGTAGCTAGCTAGCTAGCTCCATTTGCCAATCAATGTCCCAGTACAATCAGATGACTTTGGTCATCCTCAGCATCTTCTGGCTCTGCCTCTTCTGACTCTTGTGGTGTTGAGCTTGCCTCTTCAAAATCCCCCAGTCTACCAGTGAAAGACACTGCAACCTTGTTCACGATCTTGTAAGTGTCATCTACATCATCGTCTCCGATGACATCCTCTTCATCTTCCAGGCATTGATCGCCTTTGTTCGGGTCCCCATGACAGGGACCAGAATGGTGGTCATTAGCCTCAGCCACTTTGATCAAGACCACACTTACCATAAGTGTCCCTAGGCAAAGTAAAAGCATTCCTCTTGATACAGCCATGGTTAATATATGAAAAAAGGTTTGTCAAGCTTTTTGTGAGGGACTGTGAGTAGAAATTGGGATTTTGGGGTTTGAGGAGTTTGATAGTGTGATTGGGATTTAAAGAGAGCGTTGTTTACTAAAAATAAGATGTGGTTTTGTGTTGTGGCCTAGAGGAGTTTGTTTGAGTTGAGCTAGTCTTGCGGTTTAAGTTAGCATGTGAAGTGGAAGACTGCGCTACATATCAGCCTTGTTATGTGAATTATGGTTCCTCACAGGCAGTACTGATCTAAGCTTACATGTAACACCTGGACATGAAGCGCAAGATAGATCCACCATGCCTTGTGTTAGATTCTTTCATTTTCTGTTCTTAGGTGTGTGGAGTAGGCTATCCGATCCGATCTGATAACATAACTCGTTAACTAATCGAACATGAGCCCGGTTAATCCAAATTGGTGATAATTTGATTGTCTTAATACGATATCCATTGTGTTTAAATTTATGTTTGTTGTAAATGTTGTATATATTTGCACGAGAATGTCAAGTAGAGATGTATTTATCATTATTGTCCAATTTTGGTAATGGAATGGATTATGATACAGGCCAATCCAGTCCCATATTGGATCCGATTAGATGCACCTTCAATTCTAATCAAGCCAAAAGTTCATTGGTGAGATGATATTAAACATTTGGACAAAAAAATTTACTTAAGTAATTAGCACTTCTGGCTTTGCATGGTACAGTATTGCGGTTGCTGCTATCATACTTGGGGTGTAATGGGGAAACCTTCCTCGATGTTGCTGTGACAGGTTACCTAAATTTCTGGCCTGAGGGCATAGAAGTCCGATAACCTTTTCAGCAGCAACGATCTGTTTTTCTCGGAGGCCATCGTTGTGTATCAAATTCCTGTGGTGGATCATATATACTTGAGTTATAAATCCCCAGTCTTTCAGTAATTAAACTACAGAGGAAAGAGATCATGCTTGAATGAAAACAAATAAGACTTACAAAATCGATGAGGCTAGGTTTGTTGGAGTACATGCTTGAAAGAGAGCTTCGGGCATAATAGCTGAATCCATGAGAATATTTGGGAGGGAGATGTACGGTATCTTGGCTTTATAACGAATAATCCACTCGGTTAGGAAATGAGCTCGATAAGCGACTACGCATGGTAGCCGCGCAAGCTGCAACTCCAAAGCAACTGTTCCAGAAGCACATAACGCAACACTACTTGCCTGCAGGTCAACATGAGTAACAAGTTTGAGCAAGAATAGAAAAATTAATAAAGCATGCATTCCAAATTTACGGAGTTTGAAAACTTGGATTTAGATATGCTCAGATTCATTCCCTGTTGGCTATCAAACAAAGTGACGAAAAATTAATACACCGCAGTGAACTTTGCAAACAGCCTGATTACTTGTCAACTCTAGATATTTAAATTTTTTGCATATACAAACCAGCCTTCTAATATGTTTTGGCTATAGGAGAAATTGGTTGGACTTAATCAGAACCCATATTGCGATAAGAAAGGTGATTTTTTCCTTCACATCAACAGGAATCGATAGATCAAACTTTCTGGGAAATATGCCATGAAAATGTAAATCTAAAGCGAGAATCCTAGCCACTGAGTTTTATATCATCCACAAGAAAGGTGATTCATTTCACTTACACTGAATGCATCATATTTTTGGTGCAGGGATCCTCCTGGAATCAATATAGCAGGCACAGGCCACTTGTTAGTGATTCCAGTGACATAGTTCTTCACATGCTGATTTGGAGCGACATGGATGACTGTTACTAACTTGGGAGAGGAACCTTTTAATAATCTCATAGTGTTTTCAAAGATGGAAAGCATTCTGGTGACCTCTTGTAATCTGCTTCCAGGAAGCAAGGAAATGACTGTGGTTCCTGCAAAATAAAACACACACATATTATACGTATGGACAGAGGAAGAAATGTGCATGAACAGAAAGATGAGTCAATAAGGACTTGGGGAGGAAATATCAGAGAAGATCAATGATTCAAATATTATATTCCTAATAACAATACAGAGCTCAAATAATTTACTGAAAAAATACCTATACTAAGGAGAAGAAAAGGAAAAAATACCAGTTGATGGAGAAAGTGACAATGTACAGTCAATTAGATTTCAAATAAAGGGTTCATTTTGCAACCTCAATTCTCAGACCACTATAACTCAACCACTCTTAGGTAGCACATAGGATATTTAAAAAAATTAAAACAGAATAGTACATTTTACCTGCAGGTATTGAATATCTCTTTCTGAAATCTTCACAGTTTCCTTCTATCTTCTTCCATTCATGAGGTGAAGTGTCCTTCCAAACACAATACTACGTATCAGTAATTTTAACTTAAAAGTGAAGTCAATTTGAGCAGCATATATAGTTATATATTATGTTATATTCACAGCTTTCTGGAAGAAAGAACATTAAACTAAAAATCTGAGAAATCCCAAAAGAAAGAAAACAAATCATACCAAATTTAACTCCAAAACGTCCTCCAGAATGGGGTGGCCCACAAAGGTTGCAGCCAGTCCATTTGATCGGCAAACTTCTTCTTCATTAGGAAGTATACACAAGACATGATCCACAAATTCGGTCAGGCCTCCGAGTCTTGCTTCGCCCCCTTTCCAAGCCCAGAATGATGGGGCTACATAATGGAAGTGTACTGGAACATCGAATCTCTGCTGATTGTATCTAGCTGCAAAAAGCACATCCCCAATTTCCAACACTATATGTATCACTAAAGTCTGATTATAACTCCGAGAAGGTGTTGCATATTACCCCGTAACTGCTTTAAAAGACGGAAAGAGAAACCCTTGGAATCCACTGTTACAACAACATGAGGTTGAAACAGAAGAGCAGCCTCTATTGTCTCCTGCAGCTTCACCTGACACAATCATGTTCCAGTTTTAAAACCTTGACCTAACAAGATGCCAGGATGCAGCAATCTTTTCTCTTGTAACAAAGATGCTTACAAAGATAAAAATTAAATTAAAACTGCATTCATCATAGACTTTGTTAAGTAAGGTCTTATGTAGCTCACACTCACTCTCAGCCTATTCAGATGAGGCAATAACTCCAATAATCCCATTACCGCAATATCCTCCAAAGGAAACAGAGATTTTAATCCTTGTTTAGACATCATGGACCTGAACATAATATGACGAGATAACAAAGACCTCCAACAAAGTCAGGAAGATGTTTAACCAAATATCATTCAAACAACAAATTTTGAAAACCATGGTTTTGTCCAAAGTGCCTAAATCTCATCCATGTGAATATTTTATGTCCTTATTAAAACAATAATAACACAATTAATTAACCACACTCATTATTAGAGAAGGAAATTTAACAGAAGAGGAGCTGCTAACCCCATCGAAAAAGGATTTCTAAAAAGAATTATAATTTCCAATAAGACTGTAGGGCAATTAAAAGTTTACCCTCCAACACCAGAAAAACGGACAGGAACTGGACAGAGCTTCTTTAGAGATGCCATTAGACGAGAGCCAATGGTGTCCCCAGAAACCTCTCCAGCGACTATGAAGACCCTCAGCTCCCCATCTTTAACAGCAACATCCATTACATCTCTGCTTGAAACTGATGTATATCTTCTGAGTGGCCTAGAGAAGCCCACAACATTTCTACCACCCACTTTCCATATTGTTCTGAACCACATTCTGAATACCTCTTAAGGATTCTGGTTCATGGGCACAAGAAAAGCAGTGTGTTGAAAATCTTAGGCAATGAACAAACGAAACAATCATTACCCAAATGCAGGAAGAACAAAATGCACAGTAAATTAACAAACTTTATACAGCAGGATAAGAAAAGTGAGTACAAAATTGAAGTTAGTAAGCTCATAAGCACCCAAATTTAAGCTTCAGCGTTGTAATTAGGCAGCCATTATTTGAACCCAATAAAAATAATTGCTTTTCTTCAAGAAATAGAATCTAATGACGACATTCAGAAAAAGAAGAATACATAGACCCAGAAAAAGTGCTCGCCATGTAAGTTAAATACATAGCAATTTAAATATTAAAAAGAAAATGAGAATGCAAGCAAAGTTGCAAAGGAAGAACTTACAGTTGAGGAGAAGAGGAAGCAGTGGAAGAAAGCAGAGGGTTTCAGAAAACTGCTTCAGAATTTTTGGGTTAGTTTTTAGCTGAGTTTCGCCGAAGCCCACTTGAAATGTTCAATAGGGCGTCTTTCTTTCTTATGGGCTAAAAGGGATGCAGGGCCAGAGTCGCCCAATAATTAGCCCGAGGCCCCCCGCGGCCCGCGGGGGAGGAACCCAGTTCCAGCGGGCTACTTTTGCCCGGGCTGGCTATGGGACCCACAAAGATAGGCTGGCTCGAAGGCAATGCATGCGCCAACGGTAAAAAAAATTTGAACTCGTGCGCGCTAACATCAGCCCTGCACGTTTCCAATGGCTAGAAGACACGTGTCTTCGCCTGGGCGCTCCGATCTGCTTCTCCTCCTCCAATCCAACGGCTGAGCTTTTTTTGGCTATAAAATTATGAAAAAAAATTCGAAATTTTTTATTTTCTGAATTTTTTTTCTCTATAAATACCTATAAATACCCTTCACTTTCAACACCAATCCTCATACATTTTCTTCTACTTTTACTATTATCCACTCTTACTCAATATTTTATTCTCTTTCAAATTGTATTTTTATTTCTTATCTTTATGGCTTCTTCTAACGAAATCGGAGGGGTTTGGAGCACCATGGGAGATGTTTTCTTGTCCAAGGGCTCCAAATTAGTCATTGTCCCCTGTCAGGCAATGAGATGAAATTTTGTCATATGTGGAAAAAAAAATTCATGCCGAATTTTGTGAAAGAATTATGAGGTCGACTCATATGAAAATGACATTGTCTAGTAGGTAGAAAATTCTCAATAAAGAGTTGGCAAGATGCCTTGACAAAAGTTAGGGACAACCATAGAAGTGGGGAAAATCTTAGTAGAGAGGTAAATATTTCGTAATTTTCGTTTTATTAAGTTTAATGTCCTAATATATATATATATATATATAT